TCCCGACAAGGTCAAATCTGACAACTACCGACAACCTTCAGTAATTCCAGGAATTTGTTGGTACTGTCCAGAACAACCGCACCAGGATGGGACAAGGACCACTTAACCAGAGTATCGTCTAAATAAGTTCTGGAGAATCCGCAACTCTTTGGAAGCATTTAAAGTATAAGGACGAATTTTCACCTACCTTTTTCTAGTGACCGAATAATACATGTACCTTACCGAAAAGCGATACCGCTACAAAGTTATTCGAAACACCCAGTAATCAAGTCTCGCAGTATGAAGTCCAAAGTAAGGCACGTGCAAAATTGCACTTCAGTTCAACATCCATATCATTTACTGGCTGCAATCGGGTTATTTCATTTTTCTCCATATGAACTGATTGTATTGAGGGCAACATTGCGAAGTTTTTGGAATTGTTAATCAAAGATTTTGTGAACTGGCAATTCCAAATCCAGTAGGGCCATGTGAGACGCCAGGACATTTCATTGTGAGTAGGTCACCTGTTGTGAGCCAGTGTGTTTACCGTGAGCAGAGCGCTTTTATACTCATAATCGAATACAGTTTACGAAATAATGGTTATAATATCTTGTTTGTGCACTCAGCAGTCCACTTCAAGACAAACTCTTCTTAGCCTCCAAGAACTCTCGGGTAACCGAAAGAAGTAGCCAATTGTCCGATGGTATGTTGTTGTACGGCAGCGGACGAGATGGCTCAAGTGGTTAGAGCGCAAATTTACTGACCGAAAGGTCCGCGTTTCGAACCCGACCTCTGCGTCTCAACTTCGCCTGTCCAGGTTTGGACAACCTGGCAGTATCCCAGCCCTCGTGCTTCCTTCGGCTGGCATGGCAGCTAGGTACCGGAAGGGTGGTACAACTGAACGATTTTTCCAGCAAAAAATATGCTCTGTCAAACTGTTGAAATAACCTGCTCCGTCATACTGGATAGGAGGCATTACTTCAGTGCTCACAGCTTTTTATCCTAGAATTTTCGCACTGGGAATGACCTGAAGTACAAAACGTGCGACTTCCTGAAGGCCCAGTGTTATGAGAGTCTTCAGTACCTCTCTACCAACAACCCTATAACTGTTGTGAGTCTAGTGGTAGCTTCAAATTCTGGTTTCCCACTGGACTAGCCGCGTTTTCCAATCTTTGGGATGAACCCGATTGTGGGGCCGTGATCTTATCCCATTCCCAGAAAACTTTGCGCTGGACATTTTACCCCTTGTAACTGTTAGTTAGTGATCTTTGGACAAACAAAAGCTGTTGAACTCGGAAGGGAAACAAAATGAAACAACACGTGACCGCGTCACTCCAAGGAATCAGCAATTGGAAATTACTGTGCTTTTCAAGACATTCGCGAGGAATAAAAGGTCAAAGGTCGGTGTGATCCAGCACCGGGTACTGAAACACGCGTACATCCATGCGGACCTAGATTGGATTTTGTCGCACGCACGACCTTGAGAACAATAATCATTCCATTTCGGGTCTGAAAATGACCAAGTTCTTCCTGGTAATGAAAATATCACCACATCGTACAGGCTGAGACATGTGATGTCTACCCTCGTCTTGAGTGTGGTTCATGGTTGTTGTGAGATTCGCGTATAATGCAGATTTGAGCAAACAAACATGCTCTGAACCTGTCGCTTTGCAATATCGGAATTTTCGTTTATTTGAGGCACCGTAGAGTCTGTATCCGATACAACACCTCCCAGTAAGAGGACTTTCGCGTTTGAAGAGAACAATTTTATTCCCCTTGGGCTTGTCACCAAGATTTCCGAAAGAAATCAGGAAGATTACGCCGAACCACATATGAGACACCCAGAACATATGGTTGCAAGAAGACCGTCAGAGGAACAATGCGAGGAACAGTGCGCTGAATCGCGTCTCACGAAATTGCAGCCGAATGGTATCGGATCGCTTCAGAACGGGGACAGAGAAACTACGCACCCTTACAGCAGACTAGCCTTGTCCCAGACCTGGTTGACAAAGAAGTCAAGATAATGAAAGACAGGAGGCACAGAAAGGTGAATTATTTTCTGTACGCGGTTGCGACTGCCAAGTTACGTTGAAGAGATCAAGGACTATGGGGCTTACCTTCGAAGTGGAGTTTGTCGCTAAAGGTCACTTGTATTTCCGGTAATTCTATACTCCACTGTTCACCTTGCCAATCTAGACATTTCTATGTATGTTGTGGACTGGAACCGAAGAGAAGTCACGTGATCTTACTTCATGGATAGTCTGTTGCTCTTTCTCGTTCAGCCTTACCTCGATAGCTGCAGTAAACAGACTGCGTGAAGTGCTATTGTCGTGGCCACTATTTGCATTGTTTGTTTGAGGACTGGCCACTGTTGCCTTGTTTTTGCCGGGTCAAAATATCTGTGCCTTGAGGCCTCAAAAGTACACTCTCTAACCTCCGGCTAGAATGCAGCTTAGCTTCACCTACTGGTGACGCCCTTGTTACAAGGCAGGCCACTGTGTCAACTGATAGGAAGCCATAACGGTCTTCACTTTTAACAGAGTAACGATCAATAAGTCTCAGATAACAATATGAGAAATGTGGTACCCGTTGCTTTGCTTAGCAGACAGTAATTCACTCCGCACAGTTTACGCTTATAGTAACCAGAAGCACTTGTATTCATCTGGTTATGCAAAATGGTAGAAAACCTTTCCAGCCGCTAGCTGCGTGTCCTTTACGATGGCTCTTTCATGGCACCTCCGTACTTCTCCTCTGTTTTAGGTTCGCAAGCTGATACGAACTTCACTGCATCATGCTTAAAATTAACGAAACCATTCTTTATAAGTTGCCGGTTCAATTTCTACTGTTGCCTGCACTACAGTTGTGTCAGAAATACTAGGTCTTCTGTAGAAACAAAGAGAGACTCCGAAGTGTTCTGCCGAGCACACGCACTGTTTGCTCACAACAACGGGATGGACGAGGTTACATGAGCTATCACCATCCGTATTTAAGTAATATGTATTCTCCCCCTCTCCGCCTTGTACAAGTACCGATTGAGTGAGTGAGGCGTACCAAAGAGGAAACCATTTGGACGTTACGGGAATCCACTGTGCAAATCAGGTTCAATCAACCAATAAATAGAACAATCTGTTGTGTGTGAAGGAACCGGCTTACATATGTGGAACCCAGTAAATCCAGCTAAGAACCATGAAAAAGTTTGTGGAAACCCACCTTGGTAAAAAATGCTGATGACATTACAACCAGACGTGGTATGATGGGGATATAACTCGTGAACCTATTACCAAATCGTTGTTGTTTCTATCAGGTATGAACTTTACTCGTCCAGCGATGGAATGTACGGCGATATGATCAATGACACCCACTGGAGTGGTCTCATCGGGGATCTTTTAAATAAGGTGAGCAAAATGTTCTTGTTTTATTTGAATGCTTGTTTTTTCAGTGAATATGTCCTTTATAGTGCAGTATGGCGTAACACAATGTATATAGTAAAAAATAGCTCTTGTTCCTCAGTGCTTTTCTGCAGTCCTTTCAAACAGAGCCATGAATTTCTGGCTCACTACGACGTGGTAACATGAATTTCGGCTCACTACGACGTGGTAAATACTAACTCTATCAAGACTAACAGAAAGTCTAATGTAAAATCATTTAATTCGTAGCCAGTTCTGACATGCACCGGCACCTAAACACCTTACGTTTAACTATTCACTGCGTCTCACCTACTGCCAACATTTTTATGGGGGGGGGTT